CTATCAATCTCCACATTACTAGACATCTTCAAATTTATTCTTATATTGCAAACTAATCATTTAAATCCCTGTTAATTGTTGGCCATCAGTGCATGAACAGTGCTTATGAACAGTACCGGTGAACAGTAATCACATGATGAACAGTAACTGCACTTCCAAAAATTGGCCAAACCACTAGCTAATTCACGGGATTTTTCTCCAAATTCTCACAGTAGTCAATTAACACTCAATCACATAAATTTCACTTGAATTAATGCTTAAATTTATCTTAAACTACCGGAATTCCTCCCCCATTTTTCTGTCAAATTCGGACTACACAGCCAGCAAACTAAATGGATAATTTAAGTCTTAAAAGGGCTGTCACATACCATAATTCTCCAGCTAAAACCGGAGCTGCAGATTGGGGGAAGGCCGGCGGCATTGAAGGAGAAATTCTGCAGGGAACTCAGGGGGCTACCCAAAATTCAAGAACCAAAACACAATTCAAAGTAAACCCACTTAAATCAAAGCTAAAAGGATGAAGTCATGGCTGTTCTAACCGAAAAAATGCCCAGAAATCACCCACCCACATAGCAGCCGGTGGTGAAGACAAAGCAGAGCAGATCTGGAAATTTTCTCTGCAGGGGGAGAAGGTTTCAAGGCTCCAAATCTGGTTTTCGAACAAGAAAAGAAAGGCAAAAACCAAGCCTCTTACCGGTTTTCTCAAGAGGAGAGGCGTCGGGGCTGGGCTTCTTTTGTTCGGCTGCAGGGGGGGTCGGGAAGAGCAGAAGCACACGTGATGAGGAAGAAAGAAAGAAGGAAAAAAAAGAAATAAGCCATCCATATCAAAATTTCTACTCTTTTAAGTCCTTCAACTTTGAAAACTTTGGCTATTAAGCCCAAAACAATATTTGTCCACAATTTAGTCTTTAACTTAATGCTAAAATATCACAAAATTTTGGGGTATTACAACTAAAAAAGTAAAAACTGCAAGAAACTCCACCAAGCAGGCTCAAAATATCTTTAAACACATCTTCACAGCCATTTCACACTCTACTGGATTTACCTTCCACTGAGAAAATGAAAAAATACACCTAGCCACCTTATTCTTTAATCCCAAAAAAAAGACTTAACTTGAACCATATCCAACAATTGCTCTCAAAAATATTTTTAATAGTCAAATTAAGATACAGATTTGATAATTTTAATAGCCTTAACAAATTTAAATTTAATGTAGACTATAACCATAGCCAGAATGCAAAGACCACTTGTTTTTCAACTGCTCTTATTCTAGTCAAGTCTAGGGGAGGATTTCAACAATGGTGGAGATCCCTTCTGCTAGCTTATTCTTTGCTTGCTCTACTACAGTCGCTTTGCTGTAGATCGACCCAATCGCAAAGCTCTACGACACTTTAATCAAACTGGCAAGGTCTGCTTCAATCTATCTTATTTGGCTTGAAAGAAACAGGAGATTGCATCAAAGCATGTTCAGATCTGATTTTGCAATTTTTGATATGGTCCAGGCAGACATTAGTAGCGGAGTTGTCCTATGCCTAGAAGTAATTGCCTTAAAAAGTCAAAATGGAGGCTCCAATGTTCATGCGCAATTGATACTTTGAAGCTAGCTGGCAAGTTTTATTTGATATAATGTGAATAAACCTCCACAATTAAAAATAAAGAAATGAATAATTGAAATTTATATAAGTGTGATGTATAAAACTTATGTATAAATCAAATCATATTATTATATATATATATTTTTTATGTAGAGATTAGAAATTAAATCCTAAACCTATAGATAAGAGTATGGATGCTCTACTATTAGGCCACATATATGAGAGATGATATTTCATATATTGATTTAAATCCTAAACTTAAGTGTGATGTATAAAATTTGTATATAAATGGAATTTTATTTCATATATATATATATATATATATTTTATATGTACATAAGATTAGGAATTAAATCCTAAAACTATAAATAAGAGCACAGATACTCTATTGTCATGTCACATGAGTGATGATATTTGATATATTGATTTTTTGTGAGAAAATGATTAATATATATATATTCGATTCAACACATTTTCTGATATTCATCCAACTCAATTATGGTACTCTACCATCTTTGTTATATTCTCAGTTTCTCACTAAGCCCTTGTTGCGCTAAGCCTTTTGCTTTCTTTATATTAAGTCTGTTATAAGCTGCACTCCAGCTTGAGGGGAGTGAATAATGAAAGAAGCAATAGAAGATAATGACGGGGGTACAGTTCAAAATCTTACCGTTGAGAAAGAAATTGCTATGAAGGAAAGTATATCAATGAGAGAGATCATCATCAACAACAGTGCATCCTCATTGTAAAAAAACTTATTATTATTTTCATGTGCAAGCAATTTTAATCAGCTTAGGAATTTATTTTCAATATGAGTTTATGTTTTTTATAAATATTATATTTATTGTAAGGCTAGCCACGCTAGCTACTGGCCATAGCAGCTTTTGATAAATAAAATTTAAACTTATTTTAGAGAGTTATCTCTGGATTTTTTTGGTGGATTCTAGAGGTTTTGCTGGATTTTAAGGCTGTTTGGGTCTTAACCTGATTTAGGCTTAATCAATCGTTGTTTTACATTGCGTCGTATGGTGATCATGTTTCTATAAAAGTTCTAGATTTTAATCATATATAAAATGATCTGAATCAATTTTAATTTACATAATAGAATTAAGAGTTTTTTTTTAATGTGATTCAAATTAATATTTTTAGGTTCGAATCAAAAGTTTTAGAATGATCACTTTTGACAACTCATCAACAAGTGGCGAATTTATTGAGTATTTCAACAAATTAATTCCTTTTATTCAAGACAAAGTATTTGAGAGTTAAATTAAAAAGATGAAGAACAAAGGGGTTTTTAATTGCAACAATTTTTGAGGCCCTTAGACAACACAAAGAGATTCATTGAAAAGGCAAGTCATGGCTGCATCTTCCTAGGATCACTTTTACAATATCATATCTAAGGGCAAGAATAAATTAATCGAGACATTTTCCAGATCTGGAGAGTTAAAAATTGTTGACAGAAGGTAGTCATTTCTAAGCATTGCTAAAAGCTTTATGAGCTTAATTATTCCTCTTTCTTGAGATATTTCTTTGGGGTTTGTTTGTTTGCACAAATGGTTTAGTACTCTCCTTGAATTGGGAATTTGATTCTTGGAGAGATGAGTGAGGTTGAGAGATACTTGTAAATGGATCCTAGCACCTAGAAATTTTTTTGGATACTTGTAAATGGGAATTTGATTTTTGTAGAGGTGAGTGAGGTTAAGAGATACTTGTAAATTTGATTCGAACATTTTTTTGGATTAGAGGAAGGATGGCTGGGTGTATGTTTTCTAGTTCGGATTGGATGCAAAACTCCGTGATGTGCTTGAAGTCAATCTAGGGTCGTAGAAAAGGAAAGTGAAGAGCTTATAATACGGAGGCTGGATTTTTCCAGAAATTGGGACAAAGAAATAGAGTGCAGGATTGGGTTTTTTTAACTTGGAGGTGCCCTTGTATTAATGTATCAGGAAGGGCAGTTTTACTCTCCTTGAATTGGGAATTTGATTCTTGGAGAGATGAGTGAAAAAAAAAAAAAAAAAGGATCCTAGCACCTAGAAATTAGGTGTGAGCATTTGGTCTTGCACCTGCAAGCAAAAGTGTATTCTAGTTTAATCTTGTACCTGCAAACAAGATGATTCTAATGGATTGAGCTCTCAAGTAAGAAGGATTGAGAAATGGACATGCCTTAGGTTAAAGGAACTATTATAAATTACAGCTTGATCTTTTCTTTCCCACACTTTTAATTTTCTGTTTTTCTTATTATTTATGTGATTTGTTTTATTGCTTAGTTAAAATAAAAACTTGGGTAAACAATTTTAAGGTTATTTAGTTGTATTTCCAATAATTCACCCCTGGGTAAGCCTTTGGGTTTTCATCTATGAGACTGCTTCAAAATTATTGTAACTCTTTTACTAATTAGTAGATTTCTTTTATCTTTCCTCATGTTTTCCCTCTAAAGTTGGGAGTAATAATTTACAAATTAAATTTAGTGTTCTTCTTTTTATTATTTGCTTTATTATTCGCTTGTATATTTTTTTAATGATTTTCTCATTAAATGACATTACAGTCAGTAGTGGGAAGGGATATCCTTAGATAGAAGTAGTAGGAAAGGATTAAATTCCTAACGTTAATAGTTTGTTTGTTTAAGGGGAGGGAGATGAATTAGGGTAATTAAATTTTCCTATTTAGATAACAAAAATTAAAGGGAGGGAGTGGGGAGCAGAGAGAGAAAAAGGAGTTTCCCCTTTTTCTTTTTTATAATATGATTTTAATGAAATGGAAAGCAGAGCGACCATTTTCTTTAAATTAAATAAGGGTAATTTGTTTTTTTTAATGAAATTTTATTCCATAATTAAAAAAATTACAAAACTGCAAAACTAGGCAAGGGTACAAAGTATAAACAGATCTTGCAATATGATCATCTCCAATCCCACTCAACTTTGTTAGTATGAAAAATAAACCACCTAAGCACTTCCGTCAAAATTAAGGAGCAAAACTAATTAAGCACTCTCTAAAATAACCTTTATATCATCCATTTCCTAGATATTAGATCCTTATCCAACAAAGTAGAGGGCACAAATCTACCAAAAGGTAGAGGGCACAAATCTACCAAGAGGTAGAGAGCACAAATTAATCTACCGTGCCATTTGCCAGAAAGGAAACACTACCAGTCCAGCGTAGATTATTTATTTATTTCCCCAATCAGTCCAAAACGAGAAAAATGCACATCATATGTATCAACTACCACTTCTACCAAAAAAAAAACTACCGCAATGATTCCCCACCGAAAGCCAAAAAAATAATAAAAATAAAAAACAAAACAAAACAAAACAAAATCTACCACAATGATTCACATCTACCTAACAAATTATAGGGCGCATGATATCCGCACTTCTCTCTCTTTTTTTCTTTTTCAGCACATACTACGTTTCCACATGCATGTTTTCTTACTCTATTTATAGACAGCAGAGTATAATGGAGAAACGCCATACATGAAAATGGAGTTTCGTTTCGTCCTCTTCCTTGCAGCACTGATTTCATTTTTAGCTTACTTTGAAGGATCAACCGCGCTAAATCGGAGTAGCTTTCCTGATGGTTTTATCTTCGGAGCAGGATCGAGTGCTTACCAGGTAGGCCATTTAATACAACCACTGCTAATATTGGAGAGGCTTAAATCTGTTAGTTTATTCTCAAATCAATATTTTATAGTTGAAACAAACTTGATTAAACTCTTGTTAGTTTATAGAATGATAGTTAATTTACTTTTAGTTAATCCAAATCAATAGTAATCAAACTTTTAGTTGCTGTTGCCTTCCTTTTCTTAATTAACCTCTCTTTTATAATCAGTATGAAGGGGCAACAAGGGCAGATGGGAGGCAACCAAGCATATGGGATATTTTTGTGAAGTTATATCCAGGTATCTCTCAACATAGCTAAATCTCTTAGTTGTCTTAAATAGATGCTGACGTTTCGGGATAAAAAAAATGATGTTTGCATTTGTGAGGAAGAAGAGAGTGGCACTCAATATATCAACATCTGCTTTGTGTATTGGTACATATTTTATCATTCTTAACTTTTAATAATAATTCCTATTTTTGTACGAAAGAAATAAAAACATCTGTTTTGTAAATTACATCGCAAAGACAAGGCCTTCACTCTTTATTCCCCAATTTATGTAGGTTATGTTAAGTGATGTTGTCTCGTTGTTTCCCTTTTCTTTTCTTTTTTTTTTAATTTTAATTTTTATTTTATTTTATTTTATTTTATTTTTATCAGCAGTGGTATTGTCTCTTGTAGGTTAAGTAAACTATAAAGCTGCGGTTGAGATGGTTTTGTACTTTTTTTTTCTATTTTCCAAATAAAACTTTTATTATATTAGAATACAAGAAGCACTCTTATCTTATTTATATACATTATATATGTTCTGTTGTTACTTTAAGTTAAGCATCCACTTTTCCAGTACTTGGGCCTTCCAGTCCAATGATTTTATGTCACGTATAAGTGTAATCTCTTTTCTCAAAACAATGGTTCGAATTTGATTTTTTGTAAATTTATTTAAAAAAAAAATCCACTTTTCTAGTACAAAAAAGTCAACATAGCTAATCTAATCATACAATAAAAAAACCTATATGCACTTTAATTTATCCCTTACCCACGAGGACTTAGCTTGTGTTACCTCCATTAATCCGTGTGCACCTGCCTCCCTCCACCCGTTTAAAAATGATCCAGTTCCTCAACCCACACAGATGCCAACTGACCGAGACGAACGAAAAGGATTAAGAGTATATTTGATGAAGTTTATAAGAGTTTTAATTTTTTGTGTCAATTGACCGAGACGAATGAAAAAGATTAAGAGTATGTTTGATGAAGTTTATAAGAGTT